GGCACCTTAAGCTTTCCGGGATCGGGCAGTTTGATCTCGGTGATGCGAGCCGTGAAAGGCATTTTCCGAGATTCGTATAGCAGCCGATCAATCTCGGGTGCGGCGCTGGTCGCGTGGTGAATCTGAGATTTCACCGCCTTTACCGCTGCGGCTGTTTTGGTAATATATTCGCGGAGATCGCGAATCTCGGTCTGATTGCTAGCAGTTTTACGACCCTGTCGGCGTTTGCTGCGAGTGACCGGAGATCGCTCCTCGGCGGTTTTTGCGTATCGCGCGAAGTTGGGTTCCCCTTCGTCTCCAGTAAAGGAACGTTCGGGAGATGACTCCGGTTGAGGACTGCGAGTTTTCCTTCTCCTAGGATGAACGTCGGCGTCTTCGTCTGTCGAGTCGGCCTGTTCGCTCGTTTCCAGGTTGACCCTTTCGATGCCGTCGCCTTCGGTCTCCTGTTCGCGAGTAGGAGATTTTTCCGATTCGTTCAGTGTCGTGTCAGGGTTTTCTTTTCTGGAATTTTTTTTCCGGTACGTTTCCCTGATCGATTCTGGGACGATCCGTAGGAGCACCGAAATCGAGCCTCCTTCCGCGGATCTTGGTAGTTCCGCGGGGGCGAATTGCTTTGGTTCTCGCGGTTAGGGTTTCGAGCCGTTTTGCGAGTGAACCAATGAGCTTTTCTTGCTCTTCCGATTTTTTGTTAAACTCGGAAAGCATCTTTTCGACGGTCTCGGCGTTAGCGTTGGTAGCGTTGGCCGCAGGCGCGTCTTTTGGTAGTGGTGTTTCAATGTTGTCGCGTTCGTCGCGAGTTTGGTCGTCACCAGTCATCGTTTCTTCGTTGGTCATGTTGCGGTTACGGTGTAAGATAGATCCGACCCCCCCTCCTTCTAGCGCCAAACTGTGGGAGTCGATTTCACCCTACTGTCAAATAAATCATAAAAAGGGAAACTTCGGGAAAACCCTAAGTTTCCAGAGGAACCGGCTATCTGCGAGAACCGCACAACGAAAATAAGATGACGAAAATACTTAGAATTTAAATGAGAATAAACGAAAACAGAGAGCAAAGAGGTTCTTATTCCGAATTTGCGTTGAACTGGTACAAAAAGAATTGCCGAAAGCGTAAGACCTAGAAAACCCTAATTGAGACGCAGCTCGCTAACAGAAAAACGGAAATATTCCTAAATGCTAGTTTTGGTGGTGAGAGCTCTGAATTTCGTGTCTGTGCTTCTGCCCTAGACCTCCTCTTTATATACTCCTCATCTTGGCTATCCGATCTTTCCATTTCGCCCAGATTTGACTAAATCGGGAATCTTCCATT